ATATAGTGACTCAAAAAGAGGGATTGTTGAGTATGTACAGGTGGATACAGACATACGCACTTTATTTTTTTAGTTCGTATATAATGACGCAGAGAGAGTGATCCTTTATATGTATAGGTGTATATGGACATACGCACTTTATTTTTTTAGTTCGCATATGGTGACTCAAATAAAGGGATTGTTGAGTATGTACAGACAGATGCAGACATACGCAGTTTATTTTTTGGCTCGTATATAGTGACTCAAAGAGAGTGACTTTTTTTTAACTAATGAATTGAACATTAATTTAGAATTGTTTATTAACGAAAAGAATAAATGATAGAAGTAAAAAAAAATGAAAAATAAATAAATAATAACGTAGTTTTTTTTAATAATTTCTATTGTGATTGATGACAAACGAACTGAATATGTTTTAAAAAGATAATTTATAAATATTCATAGTTACTCAGTGATAAGATGTATAAATTAATTTTTATTTTCATTAAATATAAACATATATTACAGACATAGTTTCTACAAATATTTTTGATGACAAAAATTAAAAAAATAAAAATTTTAATTTATTGAAACATATTGATTGTTCGTTGAGGTTTGTCGAGATATACTATTAGAAAATTGATTTGTATATAGTGAAAATGTAGGATCTATTTCAATTGATTGATAGAGATTAGGAGGTGCTTTAAACCGTTTAGTTGCTATATGAATTTCATATGTAACGTCACGAATATAATTGATGTTGATTTTTTCTGAAGAAGATGCATGAACAAATCCTAAACAGACCTATAAGAAAAAGTATATATGAAAATTACAGATTATTTTTTCATATTCTATACTTGTTTTTCAAGTGTAAAACCATATACTGCAGAAGTGACAAATCCACAAAATTCACCACTTCAAGGCCAACAATAAAATTATATAATTGTATCATTTATATAGTATTTCAATAACCATGGATCTGAATTAAAATTATGATCTTCAAGAAGCAATTGAACAAATCTTTTTTATACACCATCTTGTCGTTAGATTTTATTTTTACATAAAATGATATATGATATTGTCGATTTAAATGAAATGGTGTTGTTTTCTTATCGATATCATGTTCTCAAGATGGGTACATACGTTCCATTCGAAGAATTCGTTGAGTAAAATATCTAAATTAATATATATAGATAAGAATTTATCAATATTATTTACCATTGATTATTCTATAGTCTTTACCTTGCTCCATTAACATATTGTATGCACATAAAGCATACTAGAAAAGAAAAATAATCAACAACAAGTATAAAATATATTTTATTTCTAATGGAATATAAAGTATATCAACTGCGACATTAATCATCACTCATTTACTATTCTTACTCTTCTCTTTCATTGTCATCACCAGTCGATTCATTCTTAACATTTGACTTACTTGACAAGCCATTCTTGCATACGCATTGAAATTTTCATCACTTAATTCAGATAATAAATATTCGGCTTTTGGTCTAATTACATTCAATACTGTATAAAGTGAAGTTACATCCGATAGAAAAATAGAATTATCTTCTGATACATGTGTTTTAAGCCATTTCATATTGCGAGTTAATTGTGAAGTTGGACTCACCAAAAGAAAGCTAGTAAGAAGACAAAAATCTTATATTTATATAAAAAAAAAACATAGTATCCTACTGATATTCTCCTAGACGTATAACAGAACAATCATTTTCATAACTACCATGTTCATTTAATATTCCTGTGTGAACAACAGTACCAATTAGCTTACCAATATTATTTGCACAAAGCATTCGAAGAAAATCCACAACACTTCGATTTGCTGATTTTAATTCATATTTTGTAAATGATGTCAGATGCATTATATTCTTTTTTAACTGTTTTAAACCATCGTGCTTTACCAAATGTGCCTTGTTTACTTAAATCTTCGAAATCTTCTATATTGTGAAAAAGAGAAAATAAAAGAAGCATTTTCTTTTAGTTTCAAAATACTTTTTTCTGCTTCGTCTAGTTTAAAAAATAGTGGACGTTCGTAACCAAGTACTTCGCCATAAGTTGGATACTTCAATGAATATTGTTTTCCTATTATAAATTACTATAATAAAATCAGAAAAAAAACAAGAAAATATCTAAATTTTCACCTAGTATTTCTCATAGACGATCTTGAAGAAATCGTTTAATTGTATGTAAACGTATAAAACGTCGTATATCAACACACCATGCACTTAAATTTGTATTTCCATTATGTATGAATTCAGCTATATATTTTCCAACACCACCATCAAGTGCTATACCATGTCCATTAGAACCAGATGCAACGAAATAACTAACTTCAGCAGATTCATTCATTATTAATCGACCATCCGATGTAAAACTATCAGCGTCAGTAATTAATGTTTCACATTCACTTTCAGCTAGAATAGAAAATCGTTTGATAGTATTACTTAATATCCAATCTAGAAAATAAGTCAGCAATAAGTATATAACATGATGATGGAAGTTTGTCAGTTAATTTTAATATTGTAATTGGATGAATATGATGTGGTACAGTATGAGATTCATGTGGGTCATATGAAACTGAACGATTAGGGATGAAGGACAAACGAGAATAACAATTGATCTTTAAAAAATATTATCCATAGAAAATTAGTTTATGCTGTAGCACGTAAGCCTGCAAATATCTGAACAAATGATCTATAAATTAAAAAAAATTATTATATTAAATTCTTTGAAAACCAGAAATATAAAGTGCACTTTCATGACGACAAGGCATCATCGTTAATGCTTGACGTCGAATACCTTGCGTTAAAAGACTAGACATTTTAAAAAAAGCTCATCGATATGAGAAAAAAATCTAAAATAATTGCTAAAATTTTGATAGAAGATGAATTAATAATGCTCTTATCGGTACTATGTCTTTTAAATGCAAAGATTACAATGTAATTCTATATTTCAATGAGCAATACAAGATGATCTATATACTTAAAACAACTAACGCTTTAAAATATCTAAAGGATTAATAAATAAAAAAAATACATCATGTAACTCTATACAAAAACATAAGTAAAAAATAATATCATATTCTTGTCTGCTTTTTCCTATTCTGAACCATTATATTATAATAATATTTTAGATATCTATTTTAAAGTTCTAATGAATGTTTTATTCAATATTGATCATCATAATTATAGTATAGAGTACGTGAGAGATGGTCTAACAATGTTTACAGAGTTTATTTATATTACAATAATACCCGAATCAACTAATTACAAATAAAGGATAGATTAGTAAACAATATCATAATGATATTCATTGGATAAAAAATTATTTATTTTATTATAAACATATTTAATTGAATACTACTAGCGCTATTCTTCTCATTGCTCACTTAAAATAACTTCAATCATGATAATAACAATATAGATAAAGAATATGTATATGATATAAATAGACTTCAGATTCTTACTCAAGAACATACGAATGAAGAATTAAATGTATTAATATCCATTTATTTGGATGATTTAATTATATAAATTATCATAATCCAGTTTCTTTAAATATAACAATCTATTCTAATGGAGATGAAAATGACTTAGATCGTGAGAAACGTTTATTATGTATAACATTCATTGCAGAACTTCCATCAACATACCCAGATTTAAATTCACTAAAAATAACTCTTTGTCTTCCTCGTGGTGTAACAGATGAACAAATCAAATATTGGTTCTTGTGTACTTTATGAATGTATCGAATCAATACGTTCGAAATTATCTATTTATGAACTTCCACAGGAAGCTTGTGCTATATGTTTAATATTAATGAATAATCTAAATGATATAATAAAGAATTTAAAAAAATGGATTTTATATCGAATGTAATTTTCGTAATAATATCGAAGATCCTGTATGTCGACAAATACTTGAAAATAATGTTATTGAACAAAATTCTAATGAAGAACATCGAGAATTAATTGAGAGTCTTTCACCATATATAAAACAATGGCAAGAAAGAAATACATGCACTTTTTCAACAGCAAAAAGAAAAAGGAGAAATTATTGATCTTAATAAAAATCAAGATATGATATTTAGTTAAATAATTTATTTTTTATGTTATTTGTTTTGTTTTCTTTTTCGTTTGGAATTTTTCAGACTGAAACTATTTTATATGAAATAAAAGAGATTATAAATTTTTTTTCATACTTTCTGTATCATAGCTTTGTAAATGAACTTCCAAAAATAATTTTATAGCGATTCATGTGATTTATTTTAATTAAATATTTAGAGATGTATGACTTTCGTAAGAGTGCTGCTATGATTACAATGTATTCTTCTCGATATCAAATTGTATATATTAAAATTAACAAAGATTTTAGTAATCATATATATTTATCCTATTTTTATGAGGGTGTGGGTGTGGATGTGGGTGACGGTAAAGAAAAGGCGAATCCCCACTCACATATAGATCCACACCCTCCTATACTCACATATTTTGTTTTTACTCACATATTACCTGCTAAATCTCTACCAAAAGATCTAGCGCGTAGTAGTAAACAACGCAAAAACGTTTAATCAGAACTACTAAACGATTTTAATGACTTACATCGTAGCCATGAACACCATCCAGTTCATTACCTTTCACTAAGATTTCAAAAAAAGAAATACGAAAATATTTCTTTTCAGAAGAGGAACGCAAAAAAACCCAAGCACAATGGATTAAAAAGAAATAACTCTAGATTCACATTCCGCACCTTCGATAGCCTTCGGTCAATTCGTATGATAGGAAAGGATTTAAAGTTTTAATCAGCCAATCGAAGTGAACGAACGGACGGACATCAACTCGTTTTTTCTGTAATACCTGCTCGAAGCATAAAACTCCTTTCAGTAGATGAAATAATCAAAGAAAGTATATGAATCTCATTTGCTTTTATAATATATTTTATGGCACAGTTTAAATTAGATTTGTAATGATCTTTTGATTATTAAAAAATTATTGTATATATGACATTAATTTATTCCAAGAAAAGCTCTTCTCATCGTCATTTAGCATACTTCTGTATATATTTATATAGAATATTTATTAAATACTACGTATATTCAACATATTTCAATGCAGTTTTCTTCGAGATTCAATGTCATGTGATAAAATATTTTATCTGAAATATAATATCTCGAATTAAACTTGTTGTTTCTATGTTTATAGGTATTATATAGTGTATTTTTTTGCATATATACCTAGAAACATGTATATTTGATAGGTTGACACAAAACAAAAGATTTATGCAATCAATTGGACAAATTGTGTTACGTGTTGTTAAGGTTATTGCTTTTGCTTTAAACTTCATCGATATACAGACGTGTAATATCTCATCAAATATTGATTAAAGTATTATTTTCATTTTAACGATACACTGTATTTATTTTCTGATTTTTTTGATTTAAATGTATATACACATGTCTTAAGAGTAGGATGAAAAGTATTATTTTATAAAATTGTCCGGTGTACAACAATATACAACTAGACAAAAATATCAGTTCATAAGGTTGTATTATTGTACTTTACTATGAATCACTCAAACAGTTAAATATGTATTGGTATGTGTGAAAATACATTTGAATATTAAAGATTTTAGGGGACTATACAAATTCTTGATCTATAGATCTAGTGGAAATATTCAAGTACAATATAAATATGTCATTTGGCAGTGGTTAATCAATAAAAGCAGATTAGTTTTGTTTATCATATGTCGATGAGTGATTCGGAGGAAATTTCAAAGAAAAGGCGGTATGCTAAACTTGATGAAATGAATTATTTGTGTAGAAAAACTACTGTTATTATTTATTAGGCGTAGAGCAATTGGGATATTGATATTCTTTTTTCTCTGTGTGGTAATAGCACTGGCAATTCTTCTTCCTCTCTTACTCCTACGTCGAGAAACAACGACAATAATACCAGGTTAGTGAATGAATTCGTATCAACAATTACATTAGCATTTAAACTAATTTCAGCATAAGTATAATGACAAACGAAAAGATAGTTATGTAAAAAGTTTACAAAGAATTATGAATTAGTCTCGTTTGCATAAACAGACAGTCATATGAATTCCATATATCAGAGCATTCAAGGGAAAAAGAATTCTATTTTTAATATTTATTATTCTTCAGATACATCCACAATATTCACTGTGAAATCAACATTAATAACTGTCACAACAAAGCCAACGACCCAGACGTGGACAGTAACATTGACAACAACAACTACAACTACAACGAGAACAACAACATCAATAACGACAACAACAGGAAGTAAAAATATTAAAGTGTCTGATTTTACTGAGAATATACAAAAAGTTTATCTAGATTGACTAAATAATAACATAAAGATAGTTATATATATGAGAAAATCTTCGTTGATATTTTTGTATGTATTACGATATAAGAGATAGAGATTTTCATATTTTCTCTTTAGTTACATGTATTTATCCATTTGTACAAACACCTACTGGAAATTGTGTCAATATATTAATCGATTTTAATAATTGTGGTATAGTTGGTTATGTTTGTTCAATGAATTATACAAGTTGTTCTGCTGGTAAATGTAGTGTTGCACCAAGTGTACAATTAACTAATGCAATTCCAATTTTTACAGCTGCTGTAAATGGATCCGTTGATGATAGATTCTATAATGTAACTCTTCCCTTTAATATTACTCTTTATAATACAACAACAGATTCTGTTCAAGTAACAACCAATGGTGTAAGATGATTAAAAAGAAATCAGAATAATCATTGCTATTTCAAAAATTGTTATTCGAAATAATTCCGATTTTGTAATAAATTTTATATTATATAGGTTCTCTGTTTTGGTAAATGTGACCGCATATGGTCTGAAACTGCTCTTCCTGCCCAAGAATTCTCAGATACAACAGTTTTTGCATATTGGGATGATCTCTATGTTTTTGCTAACACATCACAAGGTATATATTATGAAATTCAAGGGGATTCGTCAAACCGAACACTCATCTTTGAATATTACTGCAGTCATTATCAACAAGAAACGGAATATTATCATTTTCAAGTAGTTTTCTTCGAAGATAAGCCTGGGATTGTTCAATACATTTACTATGATATAAGTGATGGAGGTATTACCTGTACTGTTGGTGTACAAAGTAAGATTATACGACAAGATATAATTATTAATAAATAAAATCTTTTCGTACCCTAGGTTCAGGCAATGGCCCATTTATTCAGTATTCTTTTGATCAAGCAGATTCTGTAATGCCAAATATGACTTTAATCTTTGATACAAATACTGGAACATATACGAAACTCTAATCTAATTAACTTTATTCTTTTTTTATTTATTTATAAAGTATTGTTTTATTTATCTAAGAAAAGAATGAGAAGTATACAATTCATTATAAATGTTAAATTTTACGATAACATCAAACAAATTTTGTTTACTCAGCTATTTTTGTTTCTAAGAATATATTTAAAATAAAAATGAACATATTTCAAGGATTAATATTAAAAATTGTTTCAATAGCTAAATGATCTGATGGATATTCATTTGATGGAAGACCATTAACACCAATTTCTTCTTTAGTTGGTAATTTTAATATTGATATTGGTACAAAACCTTCTGGCTTATAAAAAATATAATCAATACATCCACATTGTTCAAATTCAACTTCATCATGTGCTCGAAATTTCCATGTTGTAAACGGAGGTTCTCTGTCATTTAATAACGTTCGATAGGCACTAGAAAAACCAGTCTTACATATACTATCATAGAAAGGCTCATCAGATTCACCATTAAAATCACCAGCAATAATCACATGTTTTTGTGTTGAATAATTTTTAGTTAAATATTGAAGAATAGCGTCTGTTTGAGTAATACGTAGATCTGCAAATGATTTTTTTGATTTTAAATGTGTACCAATAAAAATAATATTTTTCGATGATGATTTATGTTTTAATTCAAGAATTGCAAAAAACTAATCAATCAATCATAGAATTAGCAAATTAATAATGAATTTTGGTATTACTGACCGGTTTTCCTCGTGTATCATCATCGGATTGTTGATAATAATATCGATGAATTTCATCGAATAATTGTGTTTTATAACAGAGAAGAACACCATCAGGTCCTTTAAAATTATCAGAATCATTTTCAAATACAAAACATGGAGATTTTGGTTTTGGTGTAAAAAAACAAGTATATCTAAATAATTCAATTTTAATAGATAAATAAATCGAATTTTATCTTACCCATGTTTTAATAAATGTTCTTTAAGAAAACATTCATATATATCTGCTTCTTCTAATGCGAATAGATCAGGTTGACGAATTAGAATTTGTTCAAGAATACGCCATTTACGATTATCAAAAGATACAGTTTCTTTTTTAACTCGTACAAAATTTCCTTCCGGATTGGATAAACCTAATGAAAAAAATTATTTTTTGTTTTTGAAATGAATGAATGAATGAATGTATATCACCTTGAGCAAGAACATTCCATTGAAGAACATGAAGTGTTTGTGGAGTTGTCACATGATGCTCACTAAATTCTCTTTTAAGACTTGCTGGTGATATATGTTGAGTTATTCTTCATATAAAAATATACAGGTAGAAATAAAAATTATTCTAGTCAATTTTTAGTTACTTACTCTTTTAAAGATACGTCTGTGGACATTCTTTTGATATTATTCGTAATCTGAAAAAGAAGAAACAGATATTGAGATAATAATTACTGTCCTTTTTATTACCTAAAGATGCAAATAAAATAAATCATTGATAAAAATAATATTAGTCACTTATTTAAAGCAAAATTAAGATTTATCTAATTGGATATTTTATGATAAATTCGAAATTCGAGAGACTTTTAGCTAAACCATTGTTAAGCAAAATTTATCTCTATCTTATTCCTTGCAAAACTTGATATGTTAGGCTTCGATAGTAGTTTACGAAATCTTTTAATTCTTATTAGGCATCTGAATAATAGTTTAGTAATACTAGGTCAATAAATAAAATAAAATATATTTGATACTTATCTGTGAGTAAAGATGTATCGTTGAAATTGTGCATAAAAAACGCATATTTTGCATTTCAAATACTAAATTTAAGAAATATGTCACTTGTAATAATATAGATTTTGCTTATATCGTTAAGAAAAACATTATACTATATATGTTTATCGGTGGTACACGTGCTTTCGTCTGATCAAAACAGAACGAGTAAAAGAAAGAAATGATAGAAAATAAACATTTTTCTGATTTTGTTACTATGTAAGCGAATGTTTTCATTTGCAGGTTATTTGACGTATCGATATGAATGTAAATATTCTATTCATATATATATATATTAAGAATATAATTAAAATATATGTCATTCAAATCGAATAACGGGTTATTATAGTTAATAATCTCGTATAGAAATATGTGCATATTTACAATGTTATTTAAAGAAAATTATGAAATTCTTGTTATTTCGGAAGTCATACATTGAATGAATCATTTTTAATTATTAACATGGGTCGTGCAAGGTCGATTCTGCAGGGATAATAATTGCTTCCTTCCTATATAAAGCGCACCGTTTATGAATATTGATTTTCAATCTCGATATTTTACTAATCGTTGAATACATTTTATCCTAAATAAATATTAAATTTAAGAAAAAATATATCTATCACATTATTTAATTGAATGTATATAAATTCGTAATAATTTTATTTCATCGATAAAGTTACAATCACACGTATTAAGAATTCAGATAAAAATAGATCGTATATATAATTCCTTCAAAGTCATATAGTATTATTCCTAATAATTTCTAAAGAAAATAGATGATTATTTGATAAATCGATTTTTCTAGAAAACAATATAGAATTTTATCGATTAATTCGATAGAAAAATAGACAAACTTATGGATGTAATCATTGAAAATATATATCATATTGCGAAAATTTTAATTTTTTTATTGTAAAGAACAGTAAAATTATAAAATAATAGGATAAAATCTATCATATCGACGTTTCGACCAACTTCAGTGGTCATTAACAAGATACTCCACCACCACCATCTATACCGATAATCATTATAATTGCGTCTCTATACTCCACGAATACATAAATACAATATCATTAAAGAGACAAATAAGTGCTGGAATAAGGAGTATCTTGTTAATGACCACTGAATTTGGTCGAAATGCCGATATGATAGATGTTATTTTATTATTTCATAATTTTACTGTTTTTCACAATAAAAAAATTAAAATTTTCGCATTATTTACGTTTTGTCCCATCAATGATATTGTATTAACATATCACATTAAATTTTTGTATGAATAACATGATATACACCCATATTTTCTCTTTTCTTTATACGACAAGGCATATTTTTGATAACCATCAAATCATTTTTTTCTTCTTCTGTCTATTGTTAATTGTGTTGATATTTTGAAATGAAATATCACACAATATTGTAGTTAAAATCAAAATATATATTGCGATAACATATCAAGAATATGAAAGGACGTTTGTTTATTTTATTCATTTTATATCACGTATTTTTTTCTTTTGTACTTTTATTAATAGGATCATTTGTTTTCTTTCTTTCGTCATTCGAAATATTTGACAGTATGCATATTTATCTATCGAAATATGACGATGATAGGGTGTGGTTATAAAAAACAGATCAAATCTATTTCTTTCTTAGACCGTTATTTACATTATATATTTCATAAAATTTTTCGTGAATGTCTGATATACAATCTGATCGATTTAGTTCGAATGACTATTATTTCTTTCTTATTTTAATTTAAAATTCAATAGATATTTCGTATTCGAACAGGAATAAAATATGAATGATTAGCTGTTTCTTTCTTTTATTTTATTTTAATAAATAAAATTACATTTATGAATGATACACATTATTATAACTTTTCTAACACATCAGATGGTAAGAGATGCTGTTAAATATAGATTAATAAAGAGTTGGATCATAGAACATTGGCGGAAAGGAGAGTGGCAGTGCCATTGGCAATGTGTGTCCAAATACACAATTTGGACAACTGGATGCTGGTACTGCAAATGATGAATAGTCAGATTGAAAGGCCTAGAATAAAATTTTTAATAAAAATATCACTGTAAAAAGATGAAAAACTCACCATGATTATTCAAGAAAGTATTGAGAATAGAGGGAGACGATAAAGGTTCTAAAATAAATACAACAATAATAACGTATATAATCAGATATGTACTTCAAAGAAATACGTACTTGATTATAAGGATGAGATAATGAATGTGATTTTATGATAAAAAATTGCTGACCTTATATATATCATGGAAGTGCTTAGTATAAATATATGAGAGACAGAGTAAATCATTGTTGACAAGAAGACATTGTGTATAAAAAAACGAGCGTGAAATGGTTGATTGCTCACAAACAAAGGAAAGAATTATGTTTGGATTAGAGCAAACCCTTACCAAATCAATGACAATGTATTTATAAGATAAAACTTAACGACAAAACACAGTTATGACTCACTGTACAATATATTTTTGTAAGTATATTCGTAAATAAAAATCAATGAATAATTATTAATCATAATCAACAGTACATGCGTTTCATCATTATGTCACAGTAACATTCTTATTGATTTTTAATGAAAAAAAAGACTAATCATTTTTCATATATTACAGTTATTGACGATAAATTTATAATTACATTAATTTTATATTTTAATTTATCTTCATAATTCTTCTAAGAATAAAAAAAAGTTTATCAGTTTCACAGACTGTTAGCCTGTCTGTAGGGCTACGAGAGAATAAATAAAATTGTATAT